AACTAAATAGAAGTTCGATTACAATCACAAACATCAAATGCTGTTCGACATTATTCCACGAAAATTCCTCATCTATCAACAAAATCAATATCATCAACATTATTATCATCAACAACATCATGTCGTCATTATACGACACATCATCAAATAGTTAAATATACGGGTACATTAGATACATTATCTAAAATCGTTCGAATTGAAGGATTTCGTGTACTATGGTCGGGTTTAACACCAGCTTTATGTGCGTCAATACCAACAGTTATTATTTATTTTACATCATATATGAAAGCTAAACAATTACTTGGATATAATGAACGAAGTCCTAATCCAATATTACCAGTTATTGCCGGTTTATATTAATGAAAAACAATAATAAATAAAATGAATTTATTTTATTATCTTATAATTTTAGGTGCATGTTCACGTATTGTTGCTGTAACAGCTGTTTCACCATTTGAATTAATTCGAACTAAAATGCAATCAGAAAAAGTTCCAAATAGACAATTATTTCATTTATTTCGTACATCTTTAGCAGAAGAAGGACCACGTGTTCTATGGAAAGGTTTATTACCTACAATATGGCGTGATATACCATTTTCAATGATCTATTGGTTTAATTATGAAACATTTAGAGGTAAAATTTTTGTTTTTCTAAAAATTATATGCTTTATTATACTGAATCTCATGACGATCTAGTGAAAAGATAAAAAAAAAAAACATGAACATATTGTTTACAAAACAATCTACTAAACTAAATATGAAAATTTTGAATTATAATATTTTTTTTTTGTTTTTACTTTTATAGCTTATGCTGTTCGATCGAATAGAACTGTTGATGCATATACAACATTTTTTTGTGGTGCATTAGCTGGCAGTATAGCAGCAACATTAACAACACCTGCAGATGTAGTGAAAACATTTCGACAAATTGAACTTGGACGAAGTAAATATTCATCAGTTGATGGATGTAATTGTTCATCAAAACGTATCAATCAATCAACAAGAACTCTTTCAATTTTATTACATATACTTCAAGTTGAAGGTCCAAAAGGTTTATTTGCAGGTATATATTTATTGATTTATTTTATTAAAAAACAAAAACTTATTTTCGTATTGATAATATTTTAGGACTTGTACCACGATTACTTAAAGTCGCTCCTGGTAATAAGAACAAAAAAAAAAATATCATATTTATTTTGATTATTTATAATTATTTTCTTTTTCTTTAGCATGCGCAATAATGATTACAAGTTTTGAAACATTAAGAACATTTTTTCAACGTATGAATGCTGCGAGTTTTTAATTAAATTGCAATGTTTATATACCATTGATTCTGTTGAATAAATGAGAATACAAGAAAAATTAATGTTGTTATGTTATGTTATGTTTTTTGCTTTCTAATAAAGTTATTTTAACAAAAATAAAGAATTTTAAGTAATCTCCTTTTGAGTTAAGAGGCTATAAAATAAATATTGGATGATGATACTTTAAGATTTTTTCCCTCCAGAAAAAAAAACAAGGACACTTTTTGAGATAAAAATATAAGCGTAACTTCTAAAATATCCAGTTTAAAAATTCATAAGAATGACTTCCAAGTTTAAAAGATTTCTTCAGAAATCATTATGAATTTCTAGAGCTCTTCAGCAAAAAGGCTAGTACTGCATCCATAGAAAAATTAAAAGCATTATTGAACTTACGACTCCTTATCATAGCCCAATGTATAGTCGGAAAGCCAATCGATAAGATTCTAGATGAATTTTTGATTGGTATGCAATATAAACATATTTAATGCTTATATCAAAAAGTTCCTTAGATAAGTATACAAAAAGAATGTTCGCGCGTTCTTCTCGACATTGATTGTTGCATAAACTGACGAATTCCGAACAAATTTCTTTCCAATAGTGTTCGCGTTTTAGGGAACTGCGATTTTTTTACTTCATAGATACATGTATGTGTTCTCTTGCGGATGAGAGAAAAGAATTTTGTATTTGATCGTGAATATAAAGGCAATCATGAGTTTTTCTTTAAAACTAAAATAAAATGAAAATTAGAAAAACCTTTCTCTCATCCAAAGCAGCAAGTTGAGTTATCTTTTTCTAAAACTAATTCGCAGACAGCTATAACTTGTAGTATCAAGCCTAAAAACGTCCCGAGATCGAATAATTATCATGAACGTGATCGTCTTCGATAGCAAAAACAATGAGAAACATTTTTGGTTTGAATATGAAGAGACTTTCTTCTCTGGAGACCGTAAACTGAAGTAATGGAGTCCATGTTTAGTATGAAATTGTATTTCAAATAAGAAGATTTTACATTTGAAAAACATTTAATACTGTATCTTATACAAGTAATTTCTTAATTCTGATCAAGAATGTAATTGAGCAAAAAGTAGGGAGTGCGAAACAAATTTCCTGAGAGTTCAAAAGATGTATGTATAATTTTTTAAAGGTAGAAGTGTGAAATTTGTTTTTCATTTTACGATTTTTTGTCTTCGGAAAGGAACGATTATTGCTGAGAAAAATGAAATTTTCTCTAAATGGAGACAGGGAAATATAAACCGTCTTCCATAGTCACATTCCTACCTTTCGGCTCCTCCTTCCCTGATCATTTGACTTTCTGAATGTGTCGGGGAAAATGAAACTCTATAACAAAATAGTACATAATATTTATCTAATATGATTTGAAAATCAATGCTTTATTTGTTATAATCACTTCTTTGTTTTTTTTTAATAAAGCTGTAGATAACCTTTTTCGTCTCGTTGTTGACTATCTTAAAAAAACTTAAGCTGATTCCAACGTTTGAAATCATAGTTTGATGAATGCTATATCAATTGTCATATAATAAACAATTAATAGCATCCAAAAAAACAATTTTTCTATCGTTTGTGTTTTTTTTTCTATAATGACATTAGCACATTGAATTACTAATCGATGAATAATCCTTCTTGAAAGAAGATTATGTATAAGATTAAATATAGAACTAATGTCAATATTGTTATCACATAATATAAAATAACAAAGAATTATTAGTCAACTTTTGTAGTGAATCAATATGGGTTTTGTTCTCTGTATATATTATTAGATATCTACAAAAATTTAAGATTTATTTGATTTTATATCTTTAGAATTATCTTCGACTATTATTTAGTAAGTCTATTTTTAATATTGAAAGAAGATTAAAGCTAAAAGAAACAAAATACGATAGATTGATTATAATTCAACCAATTAAAATACTAAATTTATTTTTTCTCTTCATTCATAGTTTTTAATGTAATTAAATTTTCTTTTGGTTTAAATTGTAAAAGATAATGTTCATATTCGATAAAACTATAAAAATAAAAAATAAAAAGTTAAAATGATGAAATATATGTCGAAAGAGAAATTAAAATTTAGAAAAATTTAAAATATCTTTTACATTCGATAGAACATTAGAACGAAATAAAAATAACCAAATAGACAGAATAAATATTACAACTAAAGTACCACTGCCATGTAAGATAATATCTGTTATCAAATGATATAGTTACCTAATAATTATACACCACAACATATATAATCTCCTCACAGTTTCAAGTACTCGATCTAATAAATTTAATATCTTCTCCGACATATATCAACCAAAAAAAAAAAGAATAAATTACCCATCTTCATCAATAGGTAAATCTTTCATCATTTCATTCATTTCATTTTCTGATAATGATTCTCCCATTGTCATCATAGCTTTTTTAAATGTTTCTACATTAATAAGACCTAGAAATATATCATTAACTAGTAACATAAAAAAAACAAAAATTTCTCTTTTTGTTTTTATTTTTCTTTACCATAACGATTTTTATCAAAAGAAAAAAATGCTTTTTCTATTTGTTCATATGAATATTTTCTACATGAAATTGTTGACATTATATCAATAAACCATAAATAATCAATATTTTTATTATCATTAAATTCTCTATCGATATTTTCAAGATCATTTTTTGTTGGTGTAAAACCAAGTGCTCGTATAAGAAAATGAATATCATCAATTGTAATAACACCAGAATTTTTTTCATCCATTAATAAAAAAGCTTCTTTATAACGTACTTTATCCATATCATTCATTTTAATTAGAAGAACAAAAAAAGAAATTTCTTCTATAATCACATTCGTTATTTTACGACATCTATTGATCATAAAAATGAAGGAAAAAAAAAAAGAAATTGCGACAATATGGCTATATATTTTTAACGACATAAGTCAGCTGTGTATGGATCGGATACAATAAAAAAAAAAAAAAAAAAAAAAAGAAAGACGAAATGAATCATTTTTTTCTTTCTTGTTGTTTTATTATTCCCGAACGAACGAACAAATAAGACAAGGAAGCAATAATAAGCGTTGAAAAGGAGAAAAATGTCTAGGTTCTTTTCATTTGTTTTTCTTATTGCCTTAAAGGATAATTGTATTTCTTTGTTATTTATAAAGTTATTCTTTCTTTCTTTTTTTTTCAGACAGGTCTAATGGCTTCGATATGACATCAAATAATACAGGAGAAAATGATACATCAGTAATATTTGGGACAAACGGTATTTTTATTCCTTCGACTTCACTTCATCCCTCTACAACGACATCAACAAATAATAATAATAATAATAATATTAACAATAACAATCATTACGAACCATTAGCCGGCGATATGCTTGATGCTGAACTTGATTCGGATCCTCAAATGTCCGATAGTGAACTTTCATGGCAATCAGTAACTGATGTTGATAGTTTAACAGCTACAAATCATTGGCGTGGTTGGAAACAACAAACAATAACAACAACAACATCATCCATACCAATAAAACATATTACACATAATTCATCATCACCAATAATTTCTTCAACATTATGTTTTTCTTCATTAGATACATCAAATGAAGGTTTGATAAAACAAAAAAAAGAAAATTATTTTCTATTTTATAATGTTTTTTTTTTTTTTTATTTAATTTAGATCGAATTCCTACATTAGTTGATTTAAGTGCAAAAACAATTGCACAACATATACCATTTGAATTAGTTGAACGTTATAATCAACCTGAACAACCTGTACCAGAAAATTTACAACTTAAAATTGCTTTTTGGAGTTTTCCTAATGGAATTGAAGATATTCGGTATGAGAGTAGTTGACTTTTGTTTTTCTTTAATCAATTATTTTTTCTTTTTAGTTTATATACATGTGTTGCAAATGGTAGTACTGATGAATTTATTAAAGCTGAAACATTACAACAAGCAAAAGCTGTACAAAATATGTTACAAATTGGTTTTCATTTAAGTGCACAAGTTTATGAAATAAATTCAATAACAAATAATACAACTAAAACAACAGCACAATATTATCATGTATCAATTATATTTGATAGAAAAAAAATAACATCATGTCATTGTACATGTAATAATTCAAGTTCATGGTGTTCACATATTGTTGCTGTTTGTCTTTGTCGAATAGCACAAGTAAAAAAAATTTTTTTTTTTTTGAATATTCATAATCAATGAATTGTTGTTTTTTATTTCTTTTCATAGCCGGAGAATTGTTGTCTTCGAGCACCAGTTTCGGAATCATTATCAAGACTTAAAATTGATCAATTACGGTATGAAATATCTTCGAATCGATTCAATTATTTGAGTTGCTTTTAATTCGTAATAGAAATTTCTTTTTCTTTTTTCATACGGATAAGATAAATACTATAATTAAGTATATCATGAAAGCAATTTTACCTGTTATCAAATAAGAAAAAAAAAATATATATGAAGCATTTCATAGATAATTTTCAGTTGTTATCTAAGAGTTATAATAAGACAAAAAAAAGAAAAAATCAAAAACGAAATTTATAAAGGAAAATTCTTGTTTTTCATTTCTTACGAAAAAAACTAGCAATCAATATTCTTCGTTTTTACGCTGTTGTTTATCTTATGTCTTTCTTTTTATCATATTTTTGGGTGGACGTATGGATATCAGTCATGAGATCGATTTGTATTTTTTTTTT